CATGACTTCCAATTCCCGCTAGATACCAGTGGTTATCTTTTTGACAAAGTAAAGGTCGTCCACTTACTTCCTTCCCCTATTAAAAGTAAATATTATCAAATATATTATTCACTTTTTACAAACCCATACGTAATTATTTACACAAATATTATTATTCAATGTAAAAAGTTCTAACTGAGAAAAGGAAGCTAGAAATACAATTTTAATCGTTAATTAATGTTCGTTTCTTTGTTTGTTGTTATATTCAAATCTACACACTGGGATATCTATGTTATGATTATCACATATATTGATTTTGGGCGTTATAAGCCCTCATACTTACCACTGAGCCAATGGGGGGGGGGCAATTAATAAGTTAAGGTTATTCCAAAATCCCATTCTTAGGATCACTATCACCATACTCTGTCGCCTCCTTGCCCCACAGTGGCACAGCGGTATGTCTGCGGACTTACAACGCTAGAAACCGGGTTTCGATACCCGTGGTGGGCAGAGCACAGATAGCCCATTGTGTAGCTTTGTGCATAAATTCAAACAAACAAACTGTCGCCTCCTCCAACAAATATATTTGAAAGTCAAGAAACATATACTTAACATTAACATCTGATATAGCAACTTAAATATTTATTAAATCAGTTTTTTTGGGGTTGATCATATGATAAAACTCATAATAATGTTTCTCTTCATCAAAACAGTGAGGTACCCAATAATAAACAATTTGAAGAGTATCAAAAGTTGATTGTTACATACATGTTTGTATTTCAAGCCTACCTGTATTTTCAAATCCATTGTCAACGATTTTAATGTGAATCACAACGAAGTTTGAAAAACCGCATAAATGAAGATTATCAAAATTGAATCAAGTTTGTCAGAACGTGTGTAGTGTACTTTAACGTAACATCATCGGTCATTCATTAATACAAATTCTTAAAGATCTTGTTTGTTTGTACTCATGCGCAAAGCGACACAGTGGGTTACTATGTTGTGCTCAACATGGGTATCGAAACCCGAATCTTAGCGTGTAAGCCCTCAAGTTTACCACTGAGTAACTGGGGAGCTTCTTTAAATATATTAAACCACCATTACATCTCCAGCAGTGAACTTGAGGGTTTATAACGCCAAAAAATGCTGAAATTCAGGGTGCTGATAGCCCATGGTGCAGGGTTACTATTAAAAAGAAACAAACAATTTACATATACTTTCTATAAATGTTAGCATAAAATGTGTATAATTAGTATTTTTAAAATCATCTAAGTAAATGATAGATGCGCGATAAAAATAAAATTTTAGAATAATTAACATTAATTGGAAATAACAAAGCCATTACCATACATATCTTTGGGGAATCTCCAATCATTGCAGCACATAAGTTCTTACTGTCGTGGTGTATTAAACGTTGATCTGTAGATGATTTGTTGAACTTGCACATGCCTGGGAAGTTTATATTAACCTTTACTTGCTGTAACTGATCGCCTTGAAAATAAAATAGGAATACAAATGTATACTGTCCTCCACATTTCCACAAGAAGTCACTATACGATAAAAATACCTTAAGGAATATAACAAGTTTTCCCTTCTCTCTATCTCTTTTTCCTTTTTGTAGACAGGAAAAGCTAGAAATTATTTACCATTTTAGTCAATGCATTTTGATCTTCTTAGCGGAAACTGGCCAAGTTGTTGGTAGTATATATATAATCAATTGTATTACAAATAGTGTACGAAGTGTCATTCAATAAAGCTGAGATATGTGTAAAATCCTTCTACCTGCTACATATGAAAATATCCATTATTTTTACTAAGCTTTAACGGTCATATTTGGGTGTTATTTAAGCTTTTAACATTTCAATATCAGATAAATTAGTATTTTAACTGTAATCGTTATAAGTAGAAAGAAGTCTTAACAGACATGCTTACTAGTAACATTAAAATATAATATTGTAATTTGTTTTTAGCTAGAATGAGCTGCGGGTCGTAAGTGATGATGTTAAGTGGGGTACTTAGAAAGTTCTAAGATTTGAAGTGAATATTTATTTTGCACATTCTAACGTAGATTATAAACATGAGACAGTTGTGAAGTGTGTAGGATTATTCTAAGAGAAATAGAGTGAACAAGTCAGTGTGTTAGTTATCACCTTTACTTTGTACAATTAAAATGATTGTTTTACGTTAGGTAACGTTACTCGTAACGTAGGCCTACAACAATTTATGGCAGTGTACAAGTATTCAAGTTTGTATAAACAGCCTCCCCTGTGGCTTAGCAGTAAATCTAATGACTTATAGAACTAAAAACTTGGTTTCGATACCCATGGTGGGTACAGCACAAATAGTTTTGTGGTTAACAACAAACAAACAAAAATTGTAGAAACAATAAAGGAGGGAATAGAGTAACTTATCATCGTTACACAGACTAGACGTTGAATTATTTTCACAAAATAATTTAAAATAACTTTGCAACGAATAAATGACGATACTACACTGGTATCAGACAGGGATATTATTTGGTGAAAAATAAAATAGCTTCAGTTATTGAAGCTAACAACCACAAGGTCAAAGAGCAAGAGTGAAACATCACTTGAGATGATGAAATTATTAAGACAAGATCAGGAAGAAAGAGACGGAAAACTAGAAAAAATATATATAAATCTAAAACAGATCAAGAAAAGCAAGACAAAAATGAAAAGAAAACCAAGAAGAAATGAACAGAAAATTGAAAGAGATCCAATATTAAATTTATAGAAAAATAAAAGAAGATCAAGAAGAAGAGACGGGAATTCAAGAGAGAAATTAAAAGAAAGTGGCGCACTACTGAAGGAGGAATCAAAAACAAAAATAAATCTGATTGAAGACAAGACTGATGAGGTTACAGGTGACGTACATACGTTTACAACAATAAGTTTGTAGAAATGCAAAATGACAATCAAAGAAGTACAGAAAGGCTGTGCTAATAAAATTATTAAAGATATATAAAAGACATGAATGAAGTAAAAAAAGACATTAACGAGGTAGAGAAAGAGCATAACTGAGGTTAGAAATAAAATTGGTGAAAAAATAATACGTCTCGAAAAGAATTTATAAAATGCGAGATTAAACCAGCTACACTACTTTCTAAATTGACACATGATTTTTAGCTTAGAATGCCATCTGCCTTATTTAAACAACAGCTTCATAGTGTTACACCAGAGAGAAGTATCAAGAGTAAAGTTCTGGAATAGGGTACGGAAGAAAGAAGAGGCCTTGAGCTTTTAGAAGATCTGGAAAAAATGCTCAATTTTATCATCCAGACGCTCCTTACGAAATTGTAGATTCGTTTATATATGACAAATTTATACACGCTATAAAAGATGAGGATATGGGGATCAGGTTGAAGAAAAGTGGATGCCCATCTTTAGAGGAAGTTCTGCAGTTGGCGATGAAACTAGAATATATTAAAGTTGCAGAAAAACAATTAGGCTATGGGATCATCAGATTGTGTTGTGTTGAAACATCAACTCCAGCTGACAACAGTTTAGAAGAACTAAAAAGATTAGTTTGAAAACTATAAACACATAATGAAGGTAATAAACCACAAAACAATAAGTATTTCAGGTATAAATTGAAAGGAGATATTACCAAAACTAGACAAAAGCTTGTAGGGAATAAGACCCTGGAAAGGGGAAACTGTTATAAATGTGGTAAATCTGACCATTATAGTCAAGACCATGAGGAATAAAAAGCTGTTAAGACACCAAGGAGACAATATATCAAGGACGAGTCTTTGAGCCCAACCAGATTGAAGGAACAACAAAGAGCTAACCTGATATTGAGAAAAAAGAATTAGCTGGATTTACGGGGCAAAGTTCAGTCCCAAATGAAATAAGAAGTTCATTGTTTAAAGAAATCAGTACATGAATTCATGGATTTATTGATGTGAATGCTTGCTGTATGTTGACTGGCACTGGTTTTACAGTTAAATATTTCAATCTGATTTAGTAATGAAAGAGGGGAAATACACCCAGGTATAAAGAAAAAGAGAGAATGATGTGACCTGTTCCAGCAAGAGGAAAATTAGAAGTTACACTTAGGGTAGAAAATTTATCTACACTCCATGATGTGTGGGTAGTTGACATCGATGAAGAGTGCATTTTGAAAACTGACTTTACACAGAGACATGGATGCGATGTCAGGCTAGCTTCTTATAATTTCACAGTCTATGGCCATAGATTGGACTTCCCATGAAAATCAGGAGAGCAGTCTTTGTGCCACCAAAAAATGAACACTCATACAAGGACTTGTTAAGAACAAATTTATATGTAGTGAGTGAGTCATAATAGAACCAAACAATCCAGCATGTGTTGATGAATCAATGGTTGGTAGAACTTTTGTGGAATGAAAAATAAAGATTTCATTATTAAGGCCACTAATACAACTAATTGTAAGATTTGAGTCGAATTTGTATGAGACATTGCAAGATGTGAGGCTCTATAGGTAGTACTTCCACACCAAAGGACATCAGTAGTTACCTTTCAGGAAATATATAGGAAGTCTGGTGTTAAATTCTCACATAACAACAGTTTACCACCTCACTTACAAGAGCTGTATTTCTTGAGCTGATCAGTGATGGTGGTTACATAATTTGCTTATAAAATATCAAATGCCTTCTCACTTGGTCCTGATGACTTTGATTGAAGTAATAAAATATCTCACAAGAATGACACTGGAAATGTTGCCCCAATATGTCAGTTAACCAGGCAAAATCCATTTGCAAAACATCCTAAGACATGCAAAGAGATAGAAGTCATGAAGGAACAGAGCATGATATAACTGAGTACTAGTCCTTGGACATCAACTATTGTGCTTGTGAAGAAGAAGGATGGATCCACAAGGTTCTGCATGGACTATTGGAAAGTGAATGAAGTTACGAAGAAGGATGCCTACCCACTGTCAAGGATTGACTCAACTTTGGATGCTTTATTAGGATTGGAATGGCTTTCAACATTGGATCATAAAAGTAGTTATTAGCAAGTGGAAATAAAACATATTGAGAGAAAACAGCCTTTATCACAAGAAATGGATTGTGGAAATTTTTCATGTTATCATTTGAATTATGTAATGCTCTTGTTACATCACAACAGTTAACAGAGCGTGCTCTGTCAGAACTACCCTGGGACACTGTATTCAATAGTATGTGGAAAATTGATGGAACTGTGATGGAAAACCACTGGAGAGAGTTGCTGTTGATGGACCTTCACTTGTATCAGGGATGGAACTTTTAAGCAGACTTTTTTGAAGAAATATATGTTGGACCCTTGGCATTAAAACGAGCAGGGTAACAACCTTTTATCATGGTGGATAGCTACAACCACACACTATTAAATCAAATAGGCATGTACATACAAGAATATAGAAAACATGGGATCAAGATCTTCCATTGTTACTGATGAGTTATTGTAAAACAGTATACAATGCTACTGGTAAACACACCATCATTACTGATGTTCTGGAGAGAAATGAAAGTGCTATTGGACTTACTGTTCTCTCATTCAGAGAATAATCAATCAAAATAAGCTTACACAGGAGAGATTAAGAAATTCTTTACCCAAGAAAGTCTTAAATCAGCTAATGATAAAATGAAAAGTCAAGTCACTATGATTTCAACATTGAAATGATTGGATTCCATTGAGATAATATGGTATAGCTGTACAATACCCACTGCAAGAAAGGACAAATACCAAAATTAACTAACTACTGGGAGGGGCTGTATGCTGCACAGAAAAGAATCAATGACGTTTTTTACCGAATCTAGAAAGATAAGTGATCCATCAAAAATAATACATTATGACCATCTTAGGAAATACATTGATGAGAGAATGGCAAACTGGATAACTCCAGAGAAGAAGTTGTCAGCAGAAACTCAACCTACTGAGAAGCTCAGAGTTCCTGTCAAGACTTCTTCCAGAGGATCATCAAGTTTTCAACCACCATTAGATTTATCCAACCAAATACACAGGAAGAACACCTCCAGTGGCATGATGGCCAGTGAAAACAAAGGAACAAGATGCCATCCCATCTTTATGCCATAGGACTTGGAAAAGAAAACCACCAAAACACTTGGTGAATAGACAATATAGGGTAGTGTTTTATCTATTTTTTGTACTAGGATTGTTCAAGGATATTCAGAATCTAGGAAGGGTCATTGTTGTAAGCTACATATTTAACCTTGCAAACTTGTTTGTTAGTTAGAACGAGCTGCACGTCATAAGTGATGTTGTTAATTAGGCAGCCCAGAAAGTTCTAAGGTTTGATGTCAAGCTTTGCTCTAACACATTGGAACGTAAATTATAGATATGAGATAATTATGAAGTGTCTAAGATTATTTCAATACAGAGAATGAACAAGATAATATGTTAACTATCAACGTTCGTTTTTATAAGTAAGGTGATTTGTTAACGTCATTTGTAATGTAGGCCTACAGCAACATACTGCAGTGTATAAGTGTTCAGTCTTGTAGACACGTTAAAGGAGAAAATAAAGTTATTTATTATCGCTACGTGGATTGGACATTGACATTTTTTCACCAGATAACTGAAATGAAACCGCCAATGAAAGAACTATTCGACTACAATAAGGTGAACCAGTAGTTTTAAATATAATGGCCCTGTTTGGTTGTAGTAAGTTAGGTCTAATAGTTAAATTGTGTAATTGAATAAATCTAATAGGCTCACTTACCTTTAATATCCCATCCCAATGAGAAACACTGATCTCCTGGTAAAGTGGTGGTGTTCAGTTGAGGAAGACACACAGGTGTAGTGTAATCTGTGATGTCCACCGATTTATTCAGTTTGATTAAAGTCACTCCTCCAGCTTCAAACGGTGATTTGACCACTCCAGCTACACTTCGTTCCTGTTCGTAAGGAGAAGATGATGATATTCTTACACTACCCACACGGATAGCCCACTGGGCTCTAGGGTACCTAAGCCACAAAAGAAAAGAAGTTATATAATGTGAAATGACATTGAATTTGGTCAAACTGTCATAAGTGTGATAGTGTTTACATCATTTTGTACTTTTGCTGTTGCCCCCCAGTGGTACAGCGGTATGTCTGCAGACTTACAACGCTAGAATCCGGGTTTCGATACCCGTGGTGGGCAGAGCACAGATAGCCCTTGTGTAGCTTTGTGCTTAATTACAAACAAACAAACAAACAAACTTTTGCTGTTATTTTTGCAAGGAAAACAAAACACTCCAAATTGTAAAGTTAATATTGGAATTTCTTATGAGGATACAGCAAAATAAGTGATTATTAAAACTTTGGTTTAATTCTAGTTTATTTTCATAGTTATTTTTAAAATTGTATTTGATTATGCCACTTTAAGCATATAAGCATATTAAAAACCAGTGGTAAAGAAATGTTTAGTTCCAAGTTCGGACTTATAAATTGTACAGCTAAGATTCAGGAGTCAAAATAACAATATGAATGATCTCTAGAAATAAAAAAAAGAGAAAAAATTGCAATAGTGTTGATTGTCTAGCAGTAATGAAGGGTATTGCAGCAAATTCTCACATATGAAATTTAAAAAAAACGTTACAATAATTTCCACCCTGAAATAATCGTGAAACACTCAAATTTTAACTTTTAATTATATGAGTCAATAATTTTCGATCCATTTATTAATTGGAAAGGTCGTTGACAATTTTTTTTACCTACTTATAACTCGGGCGTATTGATGTTTATGCTTAAACTGTAGTGTTGAAAGTAATTCTGTAGTATTTTGCCAAAGTTTTATGATAACCACTTTGATTTATTATTTTTGAATTCACAATTAGATGGTGTATTGAGCAAATGTAATTGTACATTTTCCTTACTTGTTGAAACAGACAGTGGAGGTGATGACCCACACTTGGTCCACTAAAGTAGCATCACAGACGTGTTCTCCATTCTGCAACAGAATTGCATGCCAGGGCCAGTTACCATGGGTTACGTTTTGTGGTTTTACAGGCTGAAGACTGTTGATAAACTGGCTTTGTGCTGGATTAACTCCACATTCTGTACCAAGAAAACATTAATCACATAATATGTGGCTAAAACATGAGCGTAACAGCAAGCTTTTAATGTTGAAAAATATATATATACTCAAGTAATGAAGTACTTTATGCAAGAACAATTTTGTTATAGTTTGTTTCTTTCACTTTAGTACAGCTCCAGTCATCAGCCATAACTCTGATTAATAGCCTACAATTGCTATTGGTTTTGACAGTTTTTCACTGTTGTAATAAGTTCAATCCAACACAGATGGAGTCCTAAATTTTTCAAATATTGGTTTTTCTGTTCTTGTTTTTTTTTTCATATTTTGACGTTACTGACAAACTGGAACTGTTTAATGCCAACAAGTGATGTACTCTGTCATTGGAAACTATTTTTCTATGTTTTTTAATGAAGATTATCAGTTCAAACGAATTCCTACTCACCAAGGTTTCCACATCTCATGTAGACAACATGGCGATTTTCACAGGATGTCTCAGAGAACCTTTAGAAAACAATAAATATATAAAGTTTCATACATGTGTGGTTTTCTCTAATAGTTGCAATATAGAACTATGTACAGTTTTTTTCACTGAGTGAACTGAAATATAATTTTCTTCATTATACCTAATCTAAATTTTCAGTTCAAGAATGTCTATTTCGACAGATCCTGAATGTAAACCTATCTGATTTAAAATCTAAAACCTATAAATATTTTAGATTTTTTCAATAAAAAAGAATAGAAATTTCAGATAAAAGATATTTATGATTACTTTCGCGTTAGTATATAATATCTGACAGGTATCTATGCATAGTAACTTGAAAACAGTTTTACTCTGTCTCTTGAGGATGACAAGCATAGCTTGTCCAAACTAGTCAGATTTGTTAGGTTCTTAAATTCTTTAATCATTTATGCATTATTATGCTGGGTATTATTGTTTTTTGTTTTTTTATTAGAAAATGACTAACTTGTGAATTTTAATGATAAAGCATTACAATTTTGTTGGAAAGTACTAATATCAGTTTCATCCTCAGCTATAAAATACAGATTTTATCAGTAAAAAAACAAAACAAAGGTCTTGGAAACACCTTCGAGTTTTAAAGCTCATTTTTAAAGCAAATCATTACAGATGTGCCAAATTTGTTAACTGGGTAAAAGCATGTGCAAAGGTTACAGATGTGCAACACACAATCAATAAACCTTCCTCAGAGAAAAGTTAAAGTTTTATGATAAACATGATTTGTACATGTACAATTGCTTACTTCACACTAGATAGTAATGAGTCTTCCAGCTCCATATATTGGTCTTCTATTTCTGCATCCTCACGCATTTCTACATAATCTGCTGTTCTGTGTTGACAAAATGATACATGTACACTTCATTGAAGCAGATATTATACATATAATTTTTCCTGTTTAAACAATTTAAGTCAATTCAAGTCATGAGATGATTCAAGATGTAGAACATTTTCTTGTTTAGGAATAACTAGCAAATAAGACATTTATGGTTAGTTAAAATTCTTAATTACTAAGAACAAAAATAAAGCACAACATAATTGCCAACATCACTATTCTTGTTGTTTTTTCTTCTCAGAAACATTTTCTGAAACTGTCAAAACCAGTTTCCTGGTCCTTAGGGTAGAATATTGCTCCAAAAGTGTGGTATATTTTTTTACGTTAATACATGTTAATTTGTTCTCTTGTGTGTTGATATACTTTGAATGACTGACTGGGGTGCCTCTGTTTTATATTATACAATAACTTGTACAACGTAAAATGTTGTTAATATTCTCCCCCTCCTTCCCACAAGAATAAAAAGTAATTAAACAACAGAATCGAAGAGGGCTAAGCTAAAACAGGAGTTTCTCAACCTACTTGTAGCTTAGCATGTTTTAAGCTTCAGGATAATATCTTGTTGAAAAGAAGGTAGTGATTACAGGTTAAAATGGCTGAGGTCTGACGATATTATCCCATCGAGAAAAGACAGGCTATTGTTTAGCATATTACAGTTTGAAATAGCTAAGCTTTGGACAGTAATATCCCATTTAGGGAATGGAAAATGGGGGTATTGTTTAGCATATTACAGTTTGAAATAGCTAAGCTTTGGACAGTAATATCCCATTTAGGGAATGGAAAATGGGGGTATTGTTTAGCATACTGTGGGTTAAGATGACTAAATTCTGAATGATGACATTTCATCCAGGTGAGATAGAGTATTGTTTAGCATACTGCAGGTTGAAATGTTTAAACTATGAAGAATAATAGCCGGTCTAGGATTAATATATAATAGGGCGTAGAGCAAACCTACTTGTAGTTTAACATATTACAGGTCGATACGGCTAAGCTCTGGAGAATAATATCTCGTCTAGGAGAGGGGATTGTTTCATTCAAGGAATCCGTACAGATTTTTCCAAACTTGCCCTTTTCATTGAAGATCAAATATCCTTCGGAGTATTTTCTCTGAGGAGTTTCTCTAAGATGAGCCGTGCTTGGTGCAATGGTCACTGAAAGGATTGTAAAACAGTGAACTGAAAGAATGATAAGTCTTAAGATTTTAGCTCAACCTGTTTACTCAATTATATATAGAATATAGGAATTATGTAAAAAACAGTTTTGAAATCAAATTGTTACATAATAAATATAAAAACCTGATATGCATAATAGATTTTACTTCTTTATATTGTTACGACAGCGGAAATCACGTGACGCTGCTGGCGCGTTGGCGCTGGTGGCGTGCGTGATGAGTTTCTCGAATGATCGGGGAAGTCCGAGTGTGTTCGAGATACCCTCTTCGTTAGTATATAAGCCTGGCAGAGAAAGCCAGCAAAGAGATAAATGAAGAGAGAGCAGTAGTTACTTTGAGTTCCGTGTAATTTATGATTCTGTTAATTTCGAGCTAGTGAGCCGTAAAGTGTGTGTTTTGCACTCGTCGAGAGCGAAGTAATCGAGATTGTGAATCACTGTGACTTATAGTATGTATTATAAAAGTTGTTAAGTTTAAAGTGACGAGAAACATACTGATTGTGGAACTATTGTGTACTAAAATTTTGTATCGAGGAAAAATAAACTGGTTTAATCAAGAAAGGACTTGTAGCGCTGAATATCCTCGGAAAGAATTTCTACCGGAAACAAACAAACAAGCAGATACATAACAATATATATATGAGTAATTGTGGTTGTGTACGTTATAAAACAAAGTTATATATTTAATTATGCTTGTCATAAGACATTAGTATTATGCGTATTATATTTTATAACACTACAGTTTTTATTACGCCTCACAACCACACAAAGTCCACCGTCCACTGTATTCATTGCTGACGACGCGTTTTGTTCAAAAGATCGCTCACTAGATCACCTGGAACACAATGAACACAGTAAGGATAGGAACACCATTTATATAAGCCATTTCTTGCAACAACAATTGGTATGGTGTGAACTCCTTTTCTAAGCTGGTGGATATGATGGTATGGTGGGGATGAAATACCATTTTAAATTATATTTTCAATGTTTTCATTTGGTTGTTTGCTAAAAGGTGCTGCTAGAATAATGATAGCACTAAACGAGATATTACCATAGATTTATTGGAATTAATAAAAAGAAAGTTAAAAAACGAGTGAGACAGAAAATTAAAAGATCAAGAAGAAAGAGAAATAATATTTACAGAATAATTAAGAACAAAAATAAATTTGATTGTAGACAAAATTGATGAAGCAATTGAAGACATACAAAAGGAATTACAACAATAAAAATGAAGAAGTTCAGAAAGACATCAACACAGTACAAAAAGTACATCAACAACGTACGAAAAGACATTAACAAAGTACAAAAAGACATCAACAAAATACAAAAAGACATTAACAAAGTGCAAAAAGACACACTGAAGCATAGAAAATTTTTATGGACAAAATGAAAAAAGCAGAAAAAGAAATCAATAACAAATAAGGGCCCCCAGCGGTATGTCTGTGGACCAAACAACCCCGAACACCATTTACTATTAAATATAAAATAGAAGAACCTTTTTGGTCTACACCTGTTATCATTACAATTATGCTATATGTTGCTGCAAGATCTTCCTTTACTAATCCTACCAGTTACTACCAAGTCCCGGTAAAGAATTGCATTGTTGAATCAAACAACATCGCCCAGTTGAGAAACCAATGGACTATAATCAGCATTTGCCATGGAAATCATATCATGTTCAATTTGAAATCATTTCCAGAGTGAAAAGATGGAATAGTGAAAATCAATCCATCCATCTTCCTACCCATCTAAAAGGACCATCTTGGACAACATTAAGAAACCTTCCAGCTGAGATCCGTAACAACTACTTTATCCAACAGGTTTTGAGTGTTGTACCAGAAACAAGTATCAAGAGTAAAGTCTCAGAATAGAGTATGGAGGAAAGAAGAGACCTTAGTTGAACTTGTAGAAGATTTGTAAAGGCTTGTTCAATTACCTTACAGAGATTCTACTAGCGAAATAAAGCATTTGTTGGCACGTGACCAATTCATAGATACCATAACAGGTTTTTGCAAAGTAGGAATACATCTTCAAAGGAATCTCCCCAGTTCGTGATGGAAATAGAATTTATTAAAGTTACAGATAAACAACTAAAGACACCATTTTGAAGTTTCGAAATCGTCAGGTCAAGTAGTATTGAAACATCAACTTTCTCTGGTGATAATCTAGAAGAACTGAAAGGATTAGTTAGATAACTAGTTACACAGAAAGGAAAACAAACCACGAGGCAATAAATGCTTTAAGTGTAATTTGAAAGGACATTTGCCAGAAACTGTAGACAAAGGCATGTAGAGAATAAGAAATTTGTTCAAAAGACTTCAATAACTGTTATAGATATTGGAAACTTGGCCATTACAACCAAGAGTGTGTGGAATCAAATCAACAGCTGTTATTAAGCCAAGGTGTCAATTCTTTGAGGATGTGTATCAGAGCACAAACATTTCAAAAGAACAACAAAAAGCTAACCAACCATCACAAAAATAGGAACTAGCTGGATTTATAGAGTGAAATTAGCTGGGAATACTCCATCCACCCAAAATGAGACAAGAAGTTCATTAATTGAGGAAATTTGTCCACAAGTCCTTGGGATTATTTTTGAAAAAAATTGCAAAATGTTGATTGCCTCCAGATATTAAGAAAGAAGAGGGACTGACTTAAGCACAAAACTCCAACAAAAAGAAGTTACCTTTATTTTATGTAGCTTCTCTAGACGTCATGTGGGTAAGTGAAAAAGGTTAAACTTCCAGTGACAATATGGAGGGTGGTCATTGTACCACCAAGAAATGAAATACTCACACCAAGAGTTATTAGCAAGAAATATTCCTCTAATGACTGGGGCACAATGTAACTAAACACTCTAACATTTCCAGAGGAACTGGTAGTTGGAAGAGCTCTCATGGATGTGAAGAATAAAGATTTCGTATAAGACTGTGCTCAGAAAAGACCTATATCAGTTTGTAATATAACAAAAAGTTGATATCATGTTAATCCTGGTAAAACTGGATTTCATTAAGGTGACGTGGTATAGCTGAGCAATTCTTGTCCCAAAAATGGACAAACTCCAAAGTTAAGTAGGTGTTCAAAAGGGCCATACATTTTACTGAAAAGAATCAGTGATATGCATTAAAGAATGTGGAGGGATATGTAATCAATATCAAAGGTCATCCACCATGTTTATCTTTGGAAGTACTTCGGTGAGAGAATGGTCAAATAGGTAACTCCAGAGAAGAACTTGCATGGAAAGTCAACATGTTGTGGAGCCTGGGTTTCTTTTTAGGCTACTTTAAGTGGATCATTAAACATGGAGACGTCAGTGGAGACACTAAATCAGCTACCTAGGAAGAACTCCCCAAGTGACAGGACAGCTAGTGATAATAAAGTACCTTTAGCTTAAGAAAAGAAGACTACCAAAAAAGCTTGATAAAAGGACAATCTAATGAATTGTTTTATTTGTGTGTTAATACCATATAAGTAACTTTACAATCCATGAAGGAGGCAGTGCTGTAAGCTATATTTTCAATATTTGGCTGTTTGCCAGAGGAAGCTGCTAGCACGATGATGGCACTACATTTATAAAGTTTATAAAAGTAATTCTGAAATATCTAGAACGTTTGTGAATATTCATGATTGAGATACTTTACGAAACATCTAGAAACGAGTATACATTATTAGTACGAAAAGTAGTGAAGCATTGAGTTAGTTTTCAGTTCTTGCAGTGCTACTAAGTCTTCAGCTCGTTCACTGATTGAAAAATTAATGAAGTGTTTCAGATCTGTGTTAATTATCTCGTAAATTCAGTTACTCGATCGATTATCAGTGAAATTGCAAAAAATATGTTTACTTGTACGTTATTTGTAGTACTATTCGAGAGTAAAATTTCTGTTGAAAGTCAAAATGTTATTTGTAGACTTAGGCCTACAACTGTGCAGAAGTGAAAGTAGCCTGTAGTAAACGTAAACTGCACTTTGCATTATTTTCATCAAATATTTTAAACAACCTATCAAACGAAAGAATAACGTTACGACACTAGTATACACTCTTCTTCTTCTTGAAAATCCTTAAGAGACTGAATAAACAATGTAGAGTTAAACATATAATAGGCCTGATGTTGATATGGTATGACAAATTATAAATATACTTCGCATTCACCATAAGAAAGTTATATATTCTTTATTATGTATATTTTGGTTAATTTACTAATTAGAAGATATTTAGAAATTGAAGTCGTTAAAACGAATAAATGAGCAATAAAGTCTTGTGCATTGCATTTGCTTTTGTTGTACAATGCACTATTAACCTGTGCCCAGCATGGCCAGGTGGATAAGGCGCTCGACTCACAATCTGAGGGTCGCGGGTTCGAATCCGCATCCCACCAAACATGCTCGCCCTTTCAGCCGTGGGGGCGTTATAATGTGACGGTTAATCACACTATTCGTTGGTAAAAGAGTAGCCCAAGAGTTGGCGGTGGGTGGTGATGACTAG